TAGAGAAGCTGTTAAATGAGCCTATTTTCCCAAGTGTTCCTTTAAAGTCCACCTTAACTGGAAGCTGAGACTTTTTTTTGTATTGGACGGAGTTCCTAAAAAAAAAGGAATATTAAATGAGCTGAATAGATGTAGTAAAGTAGGCATTTCATTAAAAAAGATCTGGAAATGAGATTTAGAAGACTAATTTTAACCTAACAAACACCTCCTCCTCACCATTTCTGTTTGTTGTCAAAACTGACAGTTGGAGGGCAGGGTTGGGCGATGTCGACCAATTTGGCATTATGCGATGTCTAATGTAAAACATTGCTATGAACGATGACATGGTCATCATAGGCGGAGGTGAATTAAATATTTATTAATAACTAATTCATGAAGAAATAATTATTTGTAGCCTACTGTTTCAACAACCTGACCCGCATGGTCTTTGTTTTGCCCATAAACAAATCATAAATAAATAAAGATAAGTTGCACACAAATTACCACCTATCAATCACCTTTTTCTGCATTAGGTTGGTCAGTAAAAAAGGTGCACAACCAACAATATGTGAGGTCTTCACTAAAATTGCCAAGTACAAGTGTGAAAGAAAAATATTGAAGCAGTGTACAGATGCTGTGTCACGTAACCTGATAGATTCAAAAGACTTAAGAGTCGTTAAATAGAGACTAGGGACGCTCATTTCGGTTAATATTTCTAACCAACAACCATCCCTCGTTATTCGGATATTAACGGTTAACTAGTCAGATTAATATTAAATTATTATTAAATTAAAATAAATAGAAATTGACTTGTCTATTTTGTGTCTCACACATTAAATATTGCATTTTAAAATACTGATTTATTTTAACATGCTAGCATATTAATAACAGAACATAACAACAGAGCATCTTCAAGCACCTACAGAGTTTCCAATAGCATAGAAAAATAGAATACAATAAATAAAATAAATAGGCCTGCCCTAAAATATTTTCCCCTCAATGATTAATTTAGATTATAAAACCAAAACACTGACTGATCCTTTTTAAGAACTGGCATAGGCTGTTTTTTTTTTTCAATCATATGTCTTCCATCAAATAAATATTGCTGACTTCCTCAAATTGCTCGCTCCAGGGAAAATTTGCATTTATTTAATGTACCACTCTTATTATTATACCATAAAACCTTTTACATTTTTAATAGAAATCATCATTTTAAAGATTATATCTTGATATATGGTTTCCTCTATCTCGTGTGCGGTTCAAGTGTGCGCTGCGTGATGAAAAGACAACACTGACAACGCGCGCATATGTTGACTTTTTGTAAACAGTTTTGTTGTTTAAATATGATATTGCATTAATTTGCATACATGCTTTATAATCTGTTTAATGAAAGCTAAAGTCTATTTGTTGTGTTTATGACGCAGATCCAGGAGGCAATCAGTATCAGTGCTAGTTTGGCATCATCTGTATCAAACAGCAATATTCTTCTTCCATTTTGCTTTCCTTGGCAAATATGTCTGTATGCATGTGTGGTTACACGTTACCGTCCTGCGAGTTACCAAATATGTGTTGCAGTTGTACGTTACGGTTACAAACGCACCCTTTTGGTTAACGGTTAATCGATCATTATGAGCATCCCTAATAGAGACCAGATTAATTAAATATCACGTTTAACAACTATAGTGACACGCGACCAAGCGGTACATCCTTGATAAACTGTCCGACGTGCACTGCTCTCTCTGACAGTGTGTGTGGCTGTTTGTGTGTGTGTGTGTGTGTGTGTGTGTTTTCAGGGGACGGAGGGCTGTTCAGAGATGCTAGGTAACATAGATAATATAGGTAAAAACATGGTGTGGATAAGGATCATTTTCGTTCTAAAATGCCATTTTTATACCAAGATGTATTAGTGTAAACAGGGCCTAAGTGTGGCAGAGAATTGGCGATGACGGCTCAGCATCGTCTTGTCTATTGGCCCTATTGGAGGGTGTGTGTGGTTTAGTATGTTATCCATGCCCATTACTTCAAAATCACGTAATCTGAGAATTTAATTGAAAACAAATAGGAAGTGCATTTTCCGATTTTAATTTTAAATTACAAGAGCAAACGATTTGTTTTTTTAAATGACATGCACATATTTGTTTTAATAATATGCTCACATTGGGAGTTCACCACAAAAACTACCAATGTGAGCTAACAAAATCATATGCTTATTTTTGAAAAGGAAAACATTATAATAGGCAAAAAAAAATGACCAAAATACTCAGCATCATTGTAGGGCTGAACGATAAAATCCATATTGGTATTTATTAACCAAACACCATTGTCAATATCCATAATAAAAAAAGTTTGGTATAAAGTTTCGGTATGAAGCAATATAGTTTTATTAAAATGTGGCAGCTGAGCACGCACCTTGGAAGCAATGCCAATAAGCTTAGGGTGTCAGTTTGTCATGTCTAATGGAGGCGCACACGCAATGTTGTGCACATTTTCCAGCCGCACCTAATTGAAAAGCATCTGAACTTTCCTGAATGCCGTGAGCGCACTGACTCAGGCAAGCAGAACTAACCAATCTGCTTCACACTTTGTAAGAAATATACACATTTCAGTAATAACGACAGACCAATTACCCAAGACAAACACAGCACACCCAAACACTGCAGCGCTTTTTACCTTTCCCGATAACCTTGTATCAGAGCTGCAGCAATGGTTTGTCTGTTTGTCATCCTCTGAGAAAATGGTTGCCTTGTTCCGAGAGACGCCATAGAAAATGGTGAAGAAGACCACATGCTCGCTCTTGTCACTTCAGGTCAGAAAAACAACACATGCGAAACTGAGTGCTGTATAGCAGCAGTGAGCAGATTGTAAATAAAAAAGGATGTCGCCAGAGTGGCTTTTTGGTTTCTTTTCTTATGCATCCTAGCCACTAGCACCCCATGTGAAAAAATTTTTTAGCATAGGGGGTAATATAGTCATTCAACTTCACTATTCATTACGCTGCAGTAAGTTAATACTTTAATAATGATTTTTTGTTCCTTTACATGAAAGCTCAGATTTGATTTTCATAATTTGTGTTGTTTACAGAGTTTGAGGTTTACTCTATCATTATTATTCACACCTTACAGATGATCTACCTTTACCATTGCACACTTTGTAACAATTTATTTATAAAGTTTAAAAGTCTTTGACACTGATGTAACACTGATGTTTATTTTACTATAAGGAGATCAGATATTCTGTTTAAATATTTTGGCTTTTGACTATTAAAAATTATTTGCTTTAGTAATGTTGATAAATTAAAATAGTAAAAAAAATCCTAATATTCCTAAATGTATTTTTTTAAAAAATATTTAATAATTATCAACATCGGATGATATGAAACATGACATCACAATCTTTTTATTTTTGCAATATCGCCCAGCTCTACATCATTGTATATTTTCCCAGTCTTGTGCAGGCCTACTCCTTTTCTCCAGCCAGACTAAATGCTTTCTCCTCCTCCATTCCCGTCCAACAAAACTCAACAAAAACAGTTTGAATTTCAAGTAAATAAATACGCCCCAGGGATCAATTCTAGATCTCAGTGACAAAGCAGTCGCTCAAGGCCACAGAACAAGACATTAAAGCCTAAAGCCACACAGCGATTACAGAACAAAAAAGACCTTTCTCTGCGACTGCAGGCTCTTTTGTTTTGTGTCCCGCTGTCGAGTAATTCTTACACCTCTTTCTAATCCTAAAACAAACACTTTGCTCATCTTCATTTTCCCCACTGCAAAATATAGTGCAACTGTGGGCTGAAGAGCAAACAGTTCATACACAATGCATTACAGTGACAGGCTTTTACACAGCGCTGCATGGGACTGAAATTAAAGAGTGGTTTTAGTAGGCTGTGGACATTTGTTTATTTTCCAAACGCAGAGTTTTAGATCCTGAAGCTAATTCTGTGATAAAACACACAGTGTGAGTTTGCACGCTGAGCTGATGAGGAATATTTCACATTTTAAAGCGCAGAAGGACTTGTGTTTGATTCAGTTCCATGTAATTATTGATTTCAAATGGCTTCTTAAGGAAACTACTAACATTGATACTATGTTTAGATCAATGATTTGCCTTTTTTTTCCCTCCTTTGGTAGGATAGATTAATTTATTCAAAAATGACATCAAAAAGCATACATTTACATACAAATCTCAATTATATAATAAAAATAAATGTATTATTATTATTATTATTATTATTATTTAAAATTATTATTAAATACTGTGTTATAATTATTATTTATTTTATTATTAATCATGTTTTAAATGAAAATAATTATATTATGTGTAATAGTTATATTTTATTATGATATTTAGATAATATTCTTATTTATAGTATTATTATGTAGATTTTTTATATATTACATATAATAATAATAACAACAACAACAACAACAACAACAACAACAACTGTTATTATTATTTTATGATATATCATATTATAGCTAAAAATCATAATAATTATAAAATATAATACAAAATTTCTGTGCATGACTCGTAAAAACTGTATTATTTAAACTACATTTGCTTTTTTAAAAAATCATTAAGATTGAATTATGATTAAGCAATCAAAATGTAAGCAAAGTTATTTTAACTTACCAGTTCCACTGCATTATGTTTTTAAAGTCATTAAATCCACATGAGGCCAACATGAATACAAACAGAATTTCTAAGCACTTGGAGATTATGCAGCTACACTTTGCAAAATTTTTCCTTTTATTCACCATCGCAACCTCTCATTATTAACTGACGTTAAACAAATTATTGAACAACCAAGTAGAATGCAGATAAGGAACAATATTTAAAACCAAAAGAAAAGTCCTTGCCCTGTCGTGAGCCCAACTAATGTGAAACAAGCAACAAAATTGCATGTGCACATTTAAATACGATTTACATCTTAAGGTGATGAGCGCAACAATAGAAAGAACAGCAAATAAAGCATCTGATGTACTTCAACAAATGAAATGTACTGTTTCTCTGTGTCACAGATCTCCGGGTTCCTGCAGTGTTGAGTGCGCAGAGGAGAAATGAACTGCAGAAGCGCTCATGACAGATGGCCAAGCGTTTTTATGCACACATCTAAAGCATAAGAACCCACATCATAATTAATTATTTACTAAATATGTTTTTTTTTCCTTTCAAAGTAAGCCAGCCAGTGTGAGAAACAGTTTCATAAAAATCTAATTCTCACTTGCATACTTACAAGCGCCCGTGTTTGTCATTTTAAAATGAGACACTGTAGATTTTGGCCTTTTTAGCATCCCATCATTTTTTTATTCTTTTCAATTTAAAGAAAACATGCCAAATACACTAGTACATGTATATATATATTTTTGTCAATTTATCAACTTGTTTTTGTAGATTAAATACATTTTCTAAAATTCTGCTTATTCAGTCATTAATCTCACTTCAAAAGCACTACATCACAAATGTATTTATTGTAAAAAGTGATTAGATTTTTTACTTTAAAGGGGTGGTCCAGAATGTAATTTTATGGCTTGGTTGTGTTTATAAGATGTGAAGTAGGGGTGTCACGATTTCAATTTTGAATCGAAATCGATCGAAATGTATGCTCATTTTCAATTATCGAATCAAAAAATAGAATCGTCGATGCTGCCACGCCCCCATGTCATGTCAGCTTGGCTTGCCAAGCGGGAAAAAAACAGGCTTGTTGAAGTGTTTGTTAAACTGCAGAAGCAGGAGACCCATCGACAGAACTTAAACCCTCTCCTCTTTCAATGAAATCACCGGTGTGTAAGCATTTTGGATTTTCAGTGAGTTATGTTGACATTTGTTTGACGTTGTCGTCAAAAAAAAACAGTTTTGCAAGCTCTGCTATGTACGTATTACGTACGGTTCGTCCATAAACAACACCGGCATCGCGATTCTCCGCCCGCTCGCGAAAAGTACACACTCAGGCCCTGTTTACACTGTCTTTGTTTTTAAACGTCATTTTAGTACGACAACGATTTGACATCCACAGTGGCGTGTAGCATTTCTGAGCAGCCCTCCTTACTCTCTACCTCTGAAAATGCACATCACGTGACCACACTGACACAGCCATGCGCTCGAGACAGCAGGTCCAGGCAGTCAGAGGACTGCTTCAATCTTTCACTCACTTGTACTTAGTCATTTTAGCGAACACCTCAGATTCTGTTGGCTGGTTCCTGTTGGTTGTGTGTCTTTTTTACCGACGCCATCATAATGACACAGATCACTGCCTATTCACGAGTCCCGCAGAAAAAGTCATTGGCAGGTGGTAATTGTGTGTATTTTGACTTTATTCATTTACTGTATGATTTGTTTATGGGTAAAACAAAGGCCATACAGGTCAGGTAGTTAAACGGTAGGCTACAAATAATTAATTGGTCATTAATTAATTATTCATAATCGACAATTGAATCGAATCGTGCCTTTAGAATCGAAAATGTAATCGAATCGAGGATTTGGAGGATCGTGACACCCTTAATCCAAAGCAATGTGTGCTCATGTTTCACTTGAAGAAAATCGCGTTATTTTTTCATATATCTCACTTTGATTATTACACAGCTACTCAGCTAACATGAAAATGACTGTCATATTTCCAAGTTCCTCTGAAAGGCTCGCCCTTAAGTGACTCTGATTGGTCATCGTCATAATGTGCTGCTATTCGCGAATCGGCTCCACGTCACGCCCGTAAAAGCACGCGCTTTTCTGCTGTGTAAACAATGAGTCAACCTCCTGCCTGCTCTCTATAATAAAGTCTGACAAGTGTCTGTAACGAATGAAAATGGGGTGTGGCTCCTGTAAGAACGTTTGCGTGTGCGTCTATGTGTGTGTGGTGTAAATGTTGTCTGTGTCTATGTGTGTGTGTATGTGAATGTGTGAACTTTCTGTAACAAGCGCATGTGCGCGGGACTTTCTTTTTCTCTGATGCTCGGATTAAGTTATTTTCTGTAATATATCGTGACAGAAGAATAAAGCACAAGATGTGGGATGCAACCTGTGTGAGCCTTGATTTATTATTCTGCTGCTACCATGAGTCAGGTAAGCTAACCTGTATTTTTTTTTAACTATGCGTTACACGACGTCTTTCAAGTGTATCCGGAATATGCAGGTGTAAGTAATATGAATCATCCACATAACTTTAGCGACTTTATTATCTGAGATGTAAAATGCATGGAAAAGCTGCCTGTAGACAATCAATGCAGTCGTGAGCGCCCACACATAAGAGACTGGAACGTGCTGGTGGAGTGTGTGTGTTTAGCCGAATCCAGCACTAAACTGGGAGAGATTCTGGAGCTGTTTTGTCAAATCATGCTTGCTGTGTATTTTATAATTCTCTGGAACATAATTAATATTGAACTGTAAGCACTTCTGTCTTTGTGTCATGTCCTTTGGAAGCCCAAATACAGAAACAGACGAAGCTCTGTGGAAACAGCCGTGTTTAGACGGATTTTTAGCTTCATCTCTGCTTAAACGTTACAGCGCCTCTGGCCACGGCCCTTACCTGCTCAGTTTGGATGCGCAGTAACAAACCTTTGTGATCTCACAGGGGGCAGAAGTATTTTTTGTAGTCCCCAAAATTCGTTCACTGTAGGCTTTGCTAAGCTAATTCTTTAAAAACCAAGGTCTCCCTTTGCATTGAACTTAGAACTTTTTACATTCAGAGATGTTGTTTGTTCACACACCTACATTACACATCAACTAAAGTTTAAAATATAATATCATAGTGGTCCACCCCCTTTAAAAAGTGACGTTAAAAGCAACAAGTAAACCTACTGTAAATTGCAATTGTTAAGTTGACTTAAATTTTTATAATCAAACACAATTCATTTACTTAATAATCACTCACTAATTACTCACTGATTTAAAGTCAACTAATCACTTTAAAAGCAATGGATTTACCCACTTTAAACAAAGTCAACTGTTCGCTTTAAATACAAAAAGGTTATTCATTTCTTGAAGAAAAGTCAACTAAAAGCTTTGAAAGCAATGGGTTTACTCACTTTAAGCAAAGTGAACTGTTCGCTTTAAACACAAAAAGGTTATTCATTTTTTGAAGAAAAGTCAACCAAAAGCTTTGAAAGCAATGGGTTTACTCACTTTGACCACAGTCAACTAATCGCTTTTAACACTGAGTAATCATGTTGCTTTTAAAGTAAATTAATCGCTTTAAAAACAACAGGATTAACACAGTTTAAAGTCAAGTAATCGCTTTAAAAGCAACAAGTTTACTCACTGTTTAAAGTTAACTAGTCACTCTCAAAAGCCACGATTTATCTTATTTTAAGCAGTCAACTATCGCTTTTAAAACAATGTATTTACTCAATATAAGCAAAGTCAACTAATCCCTTTAAAAGCAACAGATTTACTCACCGTTTAAGGTCAACTAATCGCTTTAAAAACAACAGGATTACTCACTGTTTAAATTCAACTAATCTCTTTAAAAAAACAGGATTACTCACTGTCTAAAGTCAACTAATCACTTTTAAAACAACAGGATTACTCACTGTCTAAAGTCAACTAATCACTTTTAAAAAAACAGGATTACTCACTGTCTAAAGTCAACTAATCACTTTTAAAACAACAGGATTACTCACTGTCTAAAGTCAACTAATCACTTTTAAAAAAACAGGATTACTCACTGTCTAAAGTCAACTAATCACTTTTAAAACAACAGGATTAATCACTTTTTAAAGTCAACTAATCGCTTTAAAAACAACAGGATTACTCACTGTCTAAAGTCAACTAATCGCTTTAAAAGCAGCAGGATTACTCACTTTAAGTCAACTAATCATTTTAAAACAATGAGTTTACTCACTTTAACAAAAGTCAACTATTCCCTCTAAAAGCAACAAGTTCAGTCATATTTTTAAAGTCAACTGATTGCTTTACTCACTGTTTAAAGTCAACTAATCACTTTAATAGCAATTTTTTTATATACATAATAAGACTGATAATATTTGTAGAATTTTTTTTCTTTCTTGGCTGTTATAAGTATTTTCTGAATTGTGGAGTGACACAAAAAGATTCCCAAAATCCCTTTTGTAAAAATGTTTAACCTTCATCCAATGCTCAGATTTTTGTACTAAAAATATATGCAAGTTAGTGCCAAATTAATGAAATAATGTCATATTTAAACAAATTATTTTAGAAAACTAGCGACACAAAAATGTTTGCGATTCTAAACCCAATTAATCAAATGTGAAAACATGTTGAAAAGTGTTAATTTTTTTTACCTTATTCACATTCAAGGCAGCAGTTTTTGGCATCTTGTACGCTTGTAGTCGTGACTTAACAGTGAATCAAAGTGAATTCTATGCCCTGATAGGTTGAGGATTTACCCACTTTAAAATGGCGATCTCAACATCAGCCTAAAGTATATGATTCCGTATGATGGAAACCTCGAGCTTTAGTCCGGTTGATTGTAATCAGTTACTCTAGTAAGCGCATTAAAACCATCATAATCCCAAATAGCAGCCTAGAGGGATGTCAGATGGATCTGCTTCACAAATTAGGTGGCATTGTGCTCCACTTGCTTAGTGAGTGGAAGACTGAGGAAAATACTGTAACGCTCTGCGCTGTGTGTTTTTATTATGTAAACACATTTGTGAGACAAATTCAGAATCAAGATTACAATAGTTTTGGATTTTTCATTAGATTTAGTTTCCATTTCATTTTGGCTATTTTTTTTTTTCAAATTCAGTTAGTTTTTTGAGGGAGGTTTACTAGATTTACTAGTTTCTATATTAGAGCTGCACGATTCTGGCTAAAATGAGAATCGGGGTTTTTTTGCTTAAAATAAAGATCACGATTCTCTCACAGTTCTGTAAATGTAAAATAAAGGTATGGTAAAAAACAACATATGGCACAACATCAATAATAATATTATGTGTAGGTCTACTGGTTTCTATAAATAATTCTATTTTACTTATAATAATTCTGATGTTGACTTACTATGTTTGAGAAATATGCTTGCAATCTGTCATATTAGACAATTTTATTCACTGGTACAATCAGACATTTGCCATTATCATATTGTATTCAACAATATATAGGTTACAGCAGTTATACTGACACTGTAAACATTTATTTTCATGCACAACTGTGGGTTCGCTCTGAAAGAAAAAATATATCAAATGCTTGTTGTAATCATAACTCAGTCTTTGGACTGAGGGGAAACCAGAGCACTCGGAGGCAACCCACGCGAACGTAGGGTGAACATGCAAACTCCACACAGAAACGCCAACTGACCCAGCTGAGGCTTGAACCAGCAACCTTCTTGCTGTGACAGCAACAGCACTACCTACTGCACCACTGCGTCGCTCATCTCAAAGTTATACATTTTGTTGTTATTATTACTTGGTATAAATAGAAGAGAAGGGAACCTTAAGACCTTTTT